TTTTATCATCCTTAGGGAGCTCTTGACAAAGTGAACAGGATATTTAAATATATTCCAAGGCCTCAGGTACAATGGCAGCTAGAGTCAGAAAAGACATATTGGTTCCCGGAATGCAGGGTTTTTTTTCTTCCTTTAAGCTTTACATAGATAACCATCCCAAAAGAATTGGTTATTTTTCAGAAAGGACAGGTATAATACTTACATGGCTGTCAATGTGTGGGGAAAACCTATTTTTTTCTCCCTGGACAAAAAAGAAGGTAATACCCTGGAAATATATTTCTCCTCTTACAAAAGGCCTTAAAATTTTGAACACATGACTGTGGGGATGTTGAAACAGTCGTAAGTGGTTTCCTTTGCCTTTGATTATATGTTATGCTTTGATATGAAGTTTGATGATTTGTGATCAGGGTTTCAAATATTACTATTTCTGCTTATCCAGAGTTAAGCCATTCGCAACTTTACATTTCCAGTATTTGTTTCATTAGCCCATTATTGTAATCTAAAAATATGCAGTAGGCAAATTTTCTACAACTTAAAACTAAATATTTCTGTACTTGCCTGTGTCTTGATTTTTGAAACTTCTAAAATGTGGGAGGAGAAGGAGATATATAGTGTAGCATTAAAAACTATTAATCATATCTCTATGTGGTTTTTTTAGAAGAAACTCTTGTCTGCCTAATTAACTTAGGTAACCTTATAATCTTCTTTCAGTGCCTTCTGTCAGTTTTCTTTTTAGAAACTGCCTAGATATGGGTTATGTTCTGATGTTCAAATACAGCCTTTATAGGAAAAAGCATAGAGTTATGGGGAGGTTACTATCTTGGAACATTTTTAATATAACTGTACACATTAAACAGCGTTGGTTCCCCCCTCAAACTTGAGATGCTTCTATATTCTCTATTTATTCTATATATTACATAACTTAAACAAATAAGATCCAAGACAATAAGGTGAAAGTTTGCACACTGCTCTTTATTTTTTGCTTTGGAAGTACCAGGTGTAGAACTCCTGGTATCTCGGGTGCTTGAACTACACTTTGCATATTTGATACACTTCATTTCTACGTTCATATCTTGGAATCAACTCTTACATTTTCTTCAGCCATATCATGCTGTGCTGTTTTTTTTCTCACACAAATCTACTATATGTTTTAACAGTATTTTACAATAAGATGCTGTATAGCTCATTTCTAGCTAACCATGTTAGATTTCAGCATAATATATGAATTAGATTGTATCTAATTATAAGATTGAAAAATTATTTTCTTTTTATGCTATATTTTCTCAAGTGCTTCTTTCTTGAAAGCCTTTCTATAGAATAGGTTGTCTACTATTAAATGAGCAGTTATGCTTGGTTTAACTAAATTCAGCTTTATCTTGGTGCATGTTATTTTTTCCAGCAGTAGGAATATTTTATGTAACTCAGCCCGTATAAGCTGTGGGACATAGGTACCATAAAATTTAAATTCATGTAACATTTTGTTCTTTTTTTTTAATGAAATGGATATTTTTCTACTGGTATTTTAAACAAATCTTCATTCATTTTTGTTGAAATTCATATATATTTTCTTATGAAGCTCTATTGCAGCAGATATCAGCACATATCCAACTTTGGGTGATACTGGAACAGCTAAGCAGGGTCAGTTCAGTTAGCTGGAGGAGAGACTACCAGGAAATCCCAGAGTTTCGGTCTATGTTGAGAAGTTGTGTTTTTTAAAAAAAACCTCCTACAGGATTGCAGATGGTTTCTTTATTGTTACCAAAAAACAGTCTTGTAAGTCACCAGCATCAAGCTGAACTAGACAGGATAGTTATGAACCTTCCAAACCATCTAATGAAAAAGCATGCAGCATCTGTTGCTCTTTTTCCTCACAAATACTGGTTTTTGTGGTAAGAAAAGAATAGAAAAGGACAATTACCTTGAAGACAGTGACATCTGAGCCTCTTTGTAAAATTAATGATTGAAGTAGCTTGACTTTATAGGAGAATCCATCTCTGGAAACATCTCGAAGTCAGTATTTGATTGAGAGTGACTTGAAAATCATAGTTGTTATGGCGCCATTTTTATTTCAAAAAGTTTTGAGAAATCTTTTGGAAAACCAATACGGACTGGAAAATATTTTGAATGCTACCGAATGCTGAAGAAAGATGATGATGGAATAATATGCCAATGTCAAAGGATATCTGGAATTTGTTCTCATCGCCTTCTCTCCTGGTTCCCTCTGCACTTTTGGGTGGGGAGATTATTTAAAATGACCTGTGGTCTTGGACTGTTTTATCTCTTCGTTCCCTCTACTGACAGAAGATTAAGCTGCAGCAATTCATTCTCTGCCTTTTGTAAAACCATCGGCTGATGGTAATTCATGTGGGTGAGATTCGTTTCCTGTGTTCCTCAGGGCCTGGCAGCCAGTTGAATAATTCCAGGGATGAATGTAACGGCAAAATGGAAGCGCCACCTCTGCTGCTGGTTTCATCACAGCTTGCCACTCAGATCTCTACTTCCATCATTACAACTTCTGATAATGTATCTAAAATCTCCAGAAACTCTTAAGAGAGTGACTCTTGTCAACTCAGGTAAGATAATAATTGACTATGATTATGCTTTATAGACCCACATGTTGTCAAATGTTTAGGAGATATTAGAATTAAATTAACCCTGAACCTGTGGCTTGATGTAGCATACATACTTTGTTAGATGGGATAATAGTTCAGAATGATTAAAATACATTATTTATCATACTGCTAACACTATACAGATAGTCCTTGACTCACAACCACAATTGAGCCCAAAATTTCTGTTGTTAAGTGAGACATTTGTTAAGTGAGTTTTGCCCCATTTTATGACCTTTCTTGCCACAGTTGTTAAGTGAATTACTGCAGTTGTAGAATTAGTAATACAGTTGATAAGTGAATCTGGCTTCCCCATTGATTTTGCTAGCCAAAAGTTTGCAAAAGGGGATCACATGATCCTGGGGATGCTACAAAGGTCGTATGTGTGAAAAATGGTCATATGTCCCTTTTTTCAGTGCCGTTGTAACTTTAAATGGTCACTAAATGACCTGTTGTAAGTCGAAGACTAGCTGGATATCTCTTTTGCCTCTTCTTGTAAATGGTAAGAATATCTTTGTAATGCATAGACACATGGTGATTTATGCCTTCTACTTGAAACAGTAGTGGGTCTTCATTAAATATGTAGACCAGTTAGACAGAAATTCTGTTTTTACTTTCTGAAAACAAGCCTAATTGAAGTCAATGGATTCTGGACTTAATAGAATAGAATAGAATTCTTTATTGGCCAAGTGTGATTGGACACACAATAATTTGTCTTTGGTGCATATGCTCTCAGTGTACATAAAGGAAAAACATACATTCATCAAGAATCATAAGATACAAGACTTAGTGATAGTCATAGATTACCAATAAGCAATATAATCATGAAAACACATGTTGTTTAGAAATACAGTTTAGATTTTTATTGGACAGATTCAGATACATTTGGAAGCCAGCCTTATACCAGAGATATCATAAAGCAGCACTAACCATTGTTTAGATAAATATATGATGAAGATATATGGAATTATTTTCCATATATCTTGCTATTATTCTAAACACGAAGACATGAGTAGAGTAGTTTTTGATAACTGTAAAATGTAATTTAAAATTCTGTAAAATGTAGGTTAAAAGACTCACATTTAATTTTTAGCTAAAAGTTTCATAGTGTTCTTAGTGTTCACTGTCCTGATGTTCTTTAATTATCTGTTATTCCTGTAGAGAAGAATGATCTTTCACGTGAGATATACAGTGTGAATAATTTGTAAATATAAACTATTCTTTTAAATGAGATTATTGTTAGTTAGAGTTGCCCCTAAAATGGATAAAACAGGCATAGCTTTTGTTTGGAAATTTCAAAATTAATTATTCAAATTTGGGGAAATTTTTTCTGTCCAGGAACAGTTTAGTAATATTTTTGTATTAGGTTGAATAAAGCAGTTTTGTAAGAAATTCACTGACATTCTCTAAAAGCAGCAAGTGAGAAGGCATGAGAGAGTTTCACTTTCCCCTCTGACCATGTGAGTCTTCTATAAATAGAACCAATACATTGGATAAAGTGTTCCAAATCTCTTCTCAGCTAGGACGCATCCTGAGAGCTCTTGAGCACTTTATTGCATGGAGTCCTGTCGGTTGTTTGAAACTGAAAATATTTGTGTCAATGCAGAACTGGGATGTCTAAGATTTTTCCTTCTATGGCAATCAATTAGTCATCTTCAGAAGACGCTCTGTAGGTGGCCAACTCCATTCCTCCAGAGCAGATTTTTGAGGACATGGTGGGATTATAGGAGGGAAGAGAAAATTACATTGCATGACCAAAAATCTATGGGCTAAATATCACCCGTTATGTCTTAAACTAAGCTAGTTCACATAATTAACCCATAAAAACATGTGGCTAGAGAACGAAAGCAGCACTTTGAACCCCTTTGACAAATATATATAATGCAAATGTATATAAATGTTTCAATTAATAAAAATTTATAATGAAATAATTAAGACAAGTGTTGCCATACTACTACTTTTTAATAGGGAAATTTTAAGGTTGTTTTACTCATAGCCTAAAAAGGTGTATTGATATGAAACTACAGTCAGCTCTCTATCCAAATATTAAATATAATATCTAAAGGTCTGGTTTCTGTACTATTCACTAGAAACAAAGATGATTTTAAGAACAATAAAATTGCTATGATAATACTTTATTTGCGGTCACAGACCAAAACACAAGTACAACAAAAGAAGAACATGGGAAAATTAGTCATGAACAATTGGTCACCAAAAACTTGACTAAGGGGAATTACAGTGTTCTCTTCTGATGGTTACAGCTCTTTAAAAAAAATTGGAAACCTGAGAAGTGATGTATGAGGAGCCATCCCCTAGACAATATAAGAACAATATAAGAACAAATTACTAACATTGGGTCTAGAAGGGTCTGTTTCAAGGAGAGACAGTAACTTAGATCTGCCTGCGTTATACATAGGGTAATATAAAAGGACATGCTGCACAGTTTCAACCTCAGCTCTGTCACAGGGGCATAGCCACTCGTTAATCGGGAGCCTCTTAAATCGCCCATCCAGTAGTGCTGAGGGCAAAACATTAAAGCGAGCTAGGGAGAAAGCTCTTCTATACTTGGGAATGGTTAGAGTGTAAAAATAGGAAGCCATCCTCAGTCTGTAATTATTAAATTGGCTGAAGATCAGAGGGGAGCAAGTTTTGTTAACTCTGGCTCATAGATATTGCAAGTCAATGTCCACAAGCCGTTGGACTACCCTAAATTGGGCGTCCTTAAGGCCATAATCTCCCAGGGCATCCCCCGTAAAACCTAGCAGGTATACTTTCTTCATCAGCTCCCTCTCCCAATGAGAAATATGAGAGTCAGCCAATGCCAGGGAGAGGTAGCTACCAGAGACTGCCAGAAAGAGCACCCGAAACCACCATTTAAAGGTGTTAATCCACGCCAGACATTCAACTGATTGAGTGCCAGTTCCAGGTACATCAGAGCAAAACCAACACAAGGAGGAAGACCCAGAAGTTTTCTAAGAAAGACAGTCTGGGTTCTTTCAATACAATCCTTGAAGCCCCGTATCCATATGGGAATTCCGTAGAGTCTGAGCCAAAGTTTTGGCTTTGTAAATATGCAGAGCAGAAGGAATAAACTGGCCTCCTTGGGTATAAAAAAATCTTAAAATCTGCTGGTGACTACAGGAGGCCAAATTCAGCACCTGGGTTCGATGTCTAGTCCAAGCACTGGTGTTCTGAAGTTGAATACCTAAATACTTAAAATGAAAACCTGCTTAACAGCATTACCATTGATAGCCCAGTTATATAATTTCCGGGCTCTAGAGAACACCAATACTTTGGATTTGTCATAATTAATAGACAAGTGGTTCTCAGCATAGTAAGACCCAAATGCAGAAAGTAATCTTTTCAGACCTGGCCTTGACAATGAAAGGAGGGCCGCATCGTCAGCATAAAGGAGAAGCGGGATCTTTGTAGTTGACAGCTTTGGGGCATGGGACTCAATACGTCCAATGTGAAAGGCCAAGTCAGATAAGAATAAATTAAAACAAAAGAGGAACCAGAACACAACCCTGCCTTACTCCGTTCTTAATCGGGATAGGATTTGAAAGTTCTCCCTGCAAACCATACCTAACCTGACTAGAGGTCTGGTTGTACAAGGATCTAATTAGGAACAGAAGACGTCTATCGATAGAACTTTTGAGCAGTTTTCACCACAGCAGTCCCCTAGGGACTGAGTCAAACGCTGACTTTAGGTCGATAAAAGCAGTAAAAAGTTTGCCACCTGGTATGGTAGTATATTTATCAACCAGGTGCGCTAAGACAAAGCAGTGGTCCAGTGTGGCACAACCCGCTTTAAACCCAATCTGTTCAGCACCAATAATTTTAGACTCCTCAACCCAAGTGAGGAGTCTACATTGGAGATATTTAGCATACAGTTTTCCAATGATGGGAAGCAGGCTTATGGGGCGATAGTTGGCTGGGTTGTTCCTATTTCCTCATTTAAAAACTGGAACAATAATTGCTAAGCTCCAGGAGGTAGGGATCCTGCCAGAGGTATTGATATGTGTAAAGAGTCTTGCTAAGAGAGGAATCCACCACTCGGGATTGGATTTTAGCAAATTGGGGTATAGCATCAGGGCCAGGGGCTTTGCCTGACTTGAGTTCGGAGATAAGCTCGGTAATCTCAGCATGAGTCACAGGTTGCCAGTCAGGAACTGCAGGAGGCAGCTGTGGCCCAAGCACGGTCGAACTTGTTGACGCCTGGAAAATTGCCAAGAAATGGTTTTCCCAATCTCTGTTGGAAATACAGCAGAGGGGGTGCTATAATAAAATTATAGATGTTAATGACTCATTCTTGGAATTTGGATGTCCAGGAAAAGGATAGTTAGCTTTTGGAGATAAAAAATAATATTGTGGAAAAAGTTTATTAATATTTATGAAATTACAGCCAGATTCAGTACCAAATTATTTGTGAAAGAGATATTATTTGTATCTTTAGTGTTACAGGATGTGAAAGAATCAAACCAAATACAAGTAATTTCTGAATTTCATTGTGCTTTTCTATTTCAGTTCACTTATGATAGATTTCTAGCATTGTGGCCTTTAGAGGGCTTTCACACAGGTAAATGAAAAGAACAGTGCTCAGTCATTTATGATTCTAAGTATAAAAACTAAAAATTAATTATTCATTCCTATTTTAGATACGAATACTGCACAATCTGAAGACCTGGGCTTGGACCATGAAGGTTTGTTTCTGGATTTTCCAGGAGCCAGGACACTGTGCTGTACTTTCTGTAGGAAAATTTTTCAGTGTTTGACTAAAGGAACATTTCCAAGGACATACATTCCCTATGATTATCTCTCTTGATATGACTGACTATCATAGGCCAAAACTGGCTGGTTCTGTTCTTCAAGCCTCATACCAAAGTCAAAACTGGATCGGCATGAAAAAAAACAATCCATTTCATGCAGTGCCTTCACTGCCTCAAATTATTTCAAGAGAAAACAGACTTAAATCGGCATCTTATATCTGTTCACTCCAGCTAATGTCTTTTTTTGTGGGAAGGGCTTTCTTTGGTACTTGGAAAAACCTAACTACTCATAAGAAAGGTTGCTATCTAATTTTCACACAGCCATCTGAAGAACATCTACAGAATATTGATCAAAATCAGGAATACGATCTTAAGTAAGAAAACCAGGGGTGGCATGGAATTCAGCTCTTCAGACCTTGAAATACCTAACACCTCAACTGGGTAGTATACAGGTAGTTCTCCTTTTAACAACCGTTCATTTACTACCATTACAAAGGCACTGAAAAAAGTGACTCGTAACTCGCATACACAACCGTTGCAGGAACCCCGCTGTCCAATGATCAAACTTTGGGCGCTTGGCAACTAACATGTATTTTATTCAGGGGTCATGTGATCACCATTTGTGGCCTTCCCATCTAGTTTCTGACTAGCAAAGTCCGTGGGGAAAGCCAGATTCGCTTAACAAACTGCAGGATTCACTGCTGTGTGATTCGCTTAACAACCGGGATAAAAAAAGATCATAACATGGGGTGCGCCTCAGTTCACAACTGCCTTGCTTAACAAAGGAAATTCTGGTTGCAATTGTGGTCATAAGTTGAGGGCTACCTCTGTTTACAGTTTTGTGGTATAAATCTTTTTAATATAAAGTAAATCCTGATTAACATCAGGTACAGAAAGGGATTGTATACTCTTACCATTTCTAAATTCTATGACCAAAATGGATAAATATTAAAGTTTTAATTTTTTTAAGGTTTGGTATGCATAATTTTTAGAGAAAACATTTAAAAGATTTTTGTACTATATTTTTACAGTTGGTTTAAATTATCTATACTACATTTTAACACTGTATGATATCAGCACCGCAAACCTAGTGTAATTCTGCTTTAGTAGCAGTATACTAGTTAGAAATACATCTACATTGATTCTTCAACAGAGTACATTATATTATATTTTCATTGGAACATTATATCTTGCTACATTTATTGTAAAAAATATTTTTCTCCCCCAGACCTCATGGTTATGTGTGTGCATTCTGTGTCTGTTGATGTAGGCCTACAAAACTCTGCTGGCCTTTTAAAATAAGTTAGAAAGGAAGCAGTCCATCCACCTACATGACGGTATCCAGTAAAGGGCTCCTTGTTTGACAATTTTAAAAAAAGACATCGTGTAGTTTTGTAGATTCTTCATTTGTAATAGATTTTCTGTGAATGTGGTAGGGTGACTGCATAACACAAGCCTAATTTGAAGCATCTACAGGATGTACTATTAAATAAGAGATAATAACCCACACAACTTATTTGTTTATACTTAAAAGAACTACAGTACTTGTTCTTTGAGGCTAGAAAAGCTACCCATAACCATCATTCTGTATCGTGTGAACAGTGGAAGAAGTTAGAAGAATATATTGTTATTAGATTAGATTTTGTCAGGCACAAATAACAGCAATAGCACTTAGAGTTATATACCTCTTCACAGTGCTTTACAGCATTCTCTAAGCTAGGTGTGTCAAATTCAATTGTGTCGCAGGCAGATCGTGATGTATCGTGATGTTTTTTGCCTTTGTGGAGCCGGGGTGGGCATGGCCTGTGTGGGCCATCAGTTTGACAAGCTTGCTCTAAGCAGTTTACAGAGTCAGCCTCTCCTCCCCCCTCCCCCCCAAAAAAAATCTGGGTCCTCATTTTACTGACCTTGGAAGGATGGAAGATTGAGTCAACCTTGAGCCAGTCAGGATCGAAGGAATCAAACTCCTGGCCTGCATGAGCAGAGTTAGCCTGCAATACTGCATTCTAACCACTGCACCACCACAGCTCTTAACCAGGAACAGAAGTTGAGTTCAAAGCGCTAAGAGTTTAGTTTTGCCCATCTCCTACATATTTTTTTTATCCCACCTTTATTACTTTATAAAGAACTCTAGGTGACGAACATACATGATACTCTTTCCTCTTATTTTACCCACAACCACCAGCACCCCATGAAGTGGGTTGAGCTGAGAGAAAGTGACTGGCCCAAGGTCACCCAGATGGCTTCCATGCCTAAAGTGGGACTACAGCTTACAGTCACCCGGTTTCTAGGCCAGCACCTTAACCATTACACCAGACTAGCTCTATAGATGCAGCAAAACAGCTATAGTGATCAAATCATTCTCCCATGAGCTGTTCAGAGCATCCAGTAGTGGGAGGTGCTTCAGTCTCTGCATGTCTAGGCTGGGCTTAATTTGTGGAACGCTCCTCCTCCTCCATGGGACTTCTCCCCAGCATTCCCCAGTTTTTGCTCAGCCTCGTTGTGGATAGGCAGTGCTTTTTGTTCTTCCTTGGCCGAAACAGGAGTATTACTCAGAAGGTTTGGATATAGTCCAGTTCGTTTTTTCAGGCTTTTAGCCTCCAAATCACTTTACGATCTCCTGACGTTAGCTTTCTCCATCTGGTCATCGGAGATCATTTGCATTTTTGGGCAGCGCTGTTTCACGCCCGAAGCGGTGGGCAACTTCGGCATTGCTCCGAGCCCCCCCATCTGCTTGTTCTACCCCCTGCCATAGTGATTCCGCATTGCCTTTCTCTATATCAGCAATAGCGGCATGGGCATTTTCGCTCTCATCCGAGTCATATCGTTGAGTTTTCCCCTCAGAACGCTGTCTTGATGTGGGAAGCAGTAAGAATTCTTTCCACCCCTTCCCCTGCCGTTCCTTTTAGCCACAAGGAGAAGCCGTTGGAGGTATTTCCCCAGGCGGTGGGAGTTTGTTGCTGGGAAGTGCGCGTGCGCCAAAAATAATGGCCATTGTTTTTGCCTTTAAAAAAAAAAACTGCGTGGCCGCGCTATTTGTAATTTGAGCTGTGTGAGGTAGTTTTCCTTCCCAATCAGAGGTTTTTCCTTCTGATAACCTAAGGAATTATTACACCTCGTTTTCTTTTTCGATTCGAGGCCATCCGTGTATTATTGTTGGCTTAACCCTCACAGCCTTACCCAGCGGCACAACAGTGAGCACCCAGGCCCGTGTCTGCCTGTGCAGGGAAGCTGTTGAAGGCCTCTCTTTATTATCTTGGCCTTTCAGGCATTCTTAATTTGGCTGTTTGGATATTTACTCCATCAAGCTGTTTCTCTATTAATTTATATATATATATATATATGACTTTCATTCGCTCTAATAATAATAATAATAATAATAATAATAATAATAATAATAATAATAAAAAATATTCAGTATTAATATCTTAATAAGGAAAGATATTATTACTGTGATACGACTCATATTATATATACATATATCTTAATTGAAAAAAACAAAACAAAACAAGGGGATAAGATATTATCAGGGCAACCGGTCCCTTCGTGGATCAGGCCCCTGGGCGTGCCAACCGCCTCAACAGTATTGCTTTGAATAACGAGCATACTGCATCTCTTTCAATTCAAAATGGCAGGCGGTAGTAGCTCTCAACCCTCAACATCAAGGGTCAAAGCTAAATCTCAGCACAAATCCAAGCAGACAAAAGGTCATTCTACGCTTCAGAAAAGGATGCCAACAGGCGCCATAAAGCATTAGAAAAGCAAATAGATAGGTGTGCAAGGGCTGCTCCTCACAGGACCTTCTGCCCCCCAGTCCAGTACCGTCTATCTCCTCCCATCCTCCTCCTCCCCTAGATCTCTCCCTCTCATCCAGACACAGCTTGGTTTCCCAGAGTCAACAGGCCCAGTTACCTGGAACGCAGACCACGCGAAGGGCTCCTGAAGCTACATTCACTCCGACGGCTGCTGGTCTTCGACAGGACGGCATTCTTCCAGAGGAAGTTCCAGAGAGAATGAAGGCGTGGATGGAGCTGGCAATCCGCCAGGGAATTGCAGCAGGTCTTCAACACGTAGTTCTGACCAGGGAACACCCGGTAACCACTGACTATGATTCTCAGTCATTGATCAGATCGGAGCAACACTATACCTAGGAACAGTTTCAGGGGGACATGCCCCTCCAGGGGCCGCAGGAGGAGGAGGAGGCAGAAGAAGTGGATCACATTGATCAAATGGAACAGATTGGGTCAGGATCAATACATGACAGTGACCCGGCCCTGTCAGAAGCAGACCCCCTAGAAAGTGGGATGTCTGAGGATGAGGCCCTTATTCTTGATCAACCGGTATTTTCGGGCTTATTCCGCCCACAACTATTCAGATCACTTTTGTTTAAGGCAAAAAACATTGCACGCCTGAACAAGTCGGCCCCTTCAACTCCTTCCAAAGTAGGGACCAGAAGATCTAATTTTCAAACAACCGGTAGTCGAGGCAGATGTGATTCCAGTTCCTCACATGTTTTCAGACCTGGTACAGAAACAGTGGGCGTCTGCAGTGGTGTACCCTGCCCCCATGGGATATGACAGGAAATATTTTAATTTGGCCCCTGATTTCTCAAAATTGTTGAATACTCCCGAGGTAGACGAATCTATAGTGGGATTACCGTCCTCGTCCTCCATTCCCAGTGAAGCGCTGGAGGCATTAAAGCCGGAGGAAAAACGAGCTGAGCTTGCCCTACGCAGGGCCCATCAGTCTGATATGTGGGCCATCAGAGCGGCCATGGCCACTTCCTTCTTTACCCGTGCTTCTCTCAGGTGGCTCCATCTCTTACGGGAGCATGTCCCTAATTCCAACATTAGAGCGCACCAAGATATTGCAAAACTTATAGGAGCCGCTGAATTCTCAGCTGACGCAACTTATCATGCGGTCAAGTTTTCAGCCAGGGCCATTACCTCACATGTCACAGCGCAACGCTTACTATGGTTAAAACGTTGGCAAGCGGACATTAAGCACAAATGCAAGCTGGCTTCATCTCCTATTGTGGGAGACAGACTCTTTGGCCCTGCCCTCGACCCGCTGCTAATTGAAACCCGAAACAAAAAGAAAATTCTACCTTTCCTTTTTCAGAAGTCAGATTCTAAAAACCCTCAGTCCTTTTGGAGGGGATCCTTTAGGCCCTTTTATCAGGGATTCTTCTCACCCAGATACCAGAGACCCCC